CACAAGTCCATCATTCATGGGGGTCACAGTGGTGAAGGTACTGCAAATCTGATTATCCATGCCCTATTCTCCCCCAAACTACACCAGGATGTGAGGTAGGTCATGGAAGGTCTGGGTGCCAAGTTTGGTCCAGGTCCATCATTCATGGGGGTTGCAGTGGTCTGTGGAAGTGGGAGCCAATCAGAAAGCTGCTAGATACATACACACATTATCTAGGTAGAAGATAGATAAATAGATAGAGATGAGTGCATCTGCATTAAGAAACAAAATAGTGTGAAAAGTCCTACTGAGAAGCAGAAAGGCACTTTCCATTTGAGGAGACCCGGATGCTTTTAATAAAACAGTAACAGCTACACGGAATGCTTTTAAAGTAAGTTAGTGGATGAATGAATACTTACCTGTCCATAAATAGCAGGAGGAAGCTGGCATTTGCAAGAAAGGGAGAGAGAGAGGAAGGAAGGAAGGGGGGAAGGAAGGAAGGAAGGAAGGAAGGAAGGAAGGAAGGAAGGAAGGAAGGAAGGAAGGAAGGAAGTAAGAAAGGAAGGAAGGATGGAAAGAGAAGAAAAGAAAAAAGAGAAGGAAGGAAAGAGAGAGGGAAGAAGGAAGAGATGAAAAGGAAAGAAAGAGGGAAGGAAGGAAGGAAAGAGAGAAGGAAGAATGGAACCAAAGACTAGTAATTGCATGATGGATGGAAAGATTATGTAAGGGAATGAAGATGGAAAAAGAAGTAATTGTGATCGTAGGATTGTTATAGAGGGAAAGTAATTAATTACTGACATGGAGAAGGACACATGGAGTGAAGAACGTGGAGGAATTGAATTAATTAATGAAGAATTGGAAGTAAGTAAGTTAGGAATTCATTGAAAAGTAAGCATGGAAAATTGAGTGAGTAAAGATGAATAGCCGTATTAATTTAAGGAGTTCTATAAAGGAAGGAGAGTGTCAAGTAAGACAAAAATGGCAGTTAGTAGATACGGGGTAAATGAGTGATATAAGGAGAAAGAAGACTATGAATGGTACTGAAAAACAGAAGGAAGTAACGGGAAGTAATTGAAGGAAAGAAACAGTGAAGTGATGAAGGGGAAGCAAAGTGATTAAGACATAGAAGAGATGATGGAAATATAGAAGTGAAAATAAAAAGGTGAGGAAGGTGAAGGAAAATTGAAGTATATAATATATCTGTCACTAGTGATGGGAGAAAAGTTAATAAATTAAACCAGTAAGCTTTACACACTCACATAATTAATTAATTATTGAGCAGGCTGTGGTTTCATCATTCTTGTGTTACATTGCTAATGAATTAAGTAATTAATTATAGTAATATATTTATTTATTTAAGTGAATTGAAGTTGGAATGGAAAATAGGATTGTCGAATAAATGTATTAATATAATGATTAGAAGGAAGGATATTGTAGTATCATGAATATTATATGCATAGAAAAGTACAAAATGTAAGTGAGGTAATTTATGGTATTAGGTATGTAATTACTTAAATGTAATTGTAATTAAGGGTAAATTAATTGTAAGTTTTGATTACAATAATATATGATTAATATAGAAACTTGAGTTTGAGATTAACTGAATGAATTTGAAGATGAAATGATCAGTGAGATGCATAATATGGTAGTATATTAAATTTATAATGTAAGTTAAACATAAAAGGGACCACGTAATTGAATTTGAAGTTTTGATGAAGTATAGGAAAGAAGGGAGGTAATTGAAATATTGAAAAATGATAATTTAGTATAAATCACAGATTAAGTAGAGTAGTAAATTAGTATAGAAGTGAAAAAATACCAATGTGAGTTATTGTTAGTGTAATTTATATTAAGTAATGACTGGTGGATTTATATAATGGGCGTAGACTTACGTTTAATGTAATAAAATTAAGATATATACAATTAGACTAAGTCTACAAAATTTATATAGTTATGAGATGTGAATTGATTGTATGGATGAAGTAAGTAATATATGGGGTTGGGAAGGAGATTATTTAATTAAGAGTAATTAATTAGAGGTAGTATGTAGGAAGTAGGACAAGTAAAAAGATATTGATTATTTATTAATAAATTAAGTTAGTTAAATTAATTAATTTAAATATAAATGAAAATTATTTCATTTGTATCAATGGAAGAATGGTAAGAATGCTTGAGGAATGAATGAATTATGAATAAAGTGTAAATTGATAATTGGAGAGTTAATGAAGTCATTAATTTTTAATGTAATTGATGAAAGAAATAATAGAATTAAATGATAACGATTTGAGTAATTTTATGAATATTGTAATGGATAAGCAAGCAGATTTGCTGGATTGCTTACACCAGACAAAAGGGAATGTAAACATAAATTTGATTTGTGTTGCAGAGAGTGAATGTATACAAACGTGCTTGTAACTTCTATGTCCTCTTTAGATGATATGTAGAACTAGCTCAGTGCATACAGAATTTAACGGCAAATTACTTTGGAAAGGCATTTCAGTCTTGCCACTGCTATTCTTGTTCTATCATCTCTGTGCATCATTAGAACTACATGTTTTTTTAAAAAAATAGAACATGTAGTGAAGTATCTTGAAACAGTAACATGTCATTAAGCAAGTGTAAAGGGATGGGAGTTGGAGGCATAGTGGGTTCATCTAATCATTGCAGAGCAGTATGAGTTGGCACTGAGTCATCAGGAAAAGGATATTGGAGTTGATGCATCCTTACATGGTTTTTGTGTTGGGGGGGGGGCGGGAGGGAGGAGTGGAATTGATGAAAAAAGCATAGAGATTAACGAACAGATTTAGATCATTGTTGTGGTGTTGTTGTGTATCTCCAAATCATTTCTGACTTAACAGCAATTCTAAGCAGACCCTATCATAAGGTCTTTATTGAGCAGATTTATTCATGTTGACTCTCCTGATTTGACCCGTATTTAAAAACCCTCTATTTCACTGGGAGGATTTCATCAGAGGTGTGCTGAAACCAAGAGGAGTTGAAGTTGCATTAACCGAAAGCCCTTGCCCTGGATAGTTGAGCCCTTGACTGCTTTTCAGGCTTTTGGTTTTTATATCCTCCATTAGCTGCCTACTGAGATATTAGGATGGAAATGAAAGAGAGAGTGATTGATGGAGGATATAAAAGGTGCTAGTTCTTACAATCCAACAAATTGTAGACCATGGCTGAGTATTTCTTGGACAATTCTGGTTTGGGGATTCTGGGAGTTGTAATCCTAAATGCAATCCTGACCCCAGGGCTATGCTTTGGCAGTGATTTTTTTTTTATCATTGATTAATTATAGAATCATAAAACCCTAGAGTTGGAAGAGACTTCGTGGGCCATCCAGTGCAACCCCATTATGCAAAGAAGCAGGAAAATTGCATTCAAAGCACCCCCGACAGATGGCCATCCAGCCTCTGTTTAAAAGCCTCCAAAGAAGGCACCTCCACACACTCCATGGCAGAGAGTTCCACTGTTGAACAGCTCTCACAGTCAGGAAGTTCTTCCTCATGTTCAGATGGAATTTCCTTTCTTGTAGTTTGAAGCCATTGCTCTGCGTCCTAGTCTCCAGGGAAGCAGAAAGCAAGCTTGCTCCCTCCTCCCTATGACTTCTCCTCACATACTTATACATGGCTATCATGTCTCCTCTCAGCCTTCTCTTCTTCAGGTTAGACATGCCCAGCTCTTTAAGCCGCTCCTCATAGGGCTTGTTCTCTTTGATCATTTTAGTCGCCCTCCTCTGGATACATTCCAGCTTGTCAATATTCCAGCTTCAATTGTGGTGCCCAGAATTGGACAAAATATTCCAGGTGTGGTCTAACCAAGGCAAAACAGAGCATTGGTAGCATGACTCCCCTGGATCTAGACACTAGACTCCTATTGATGCAGGCCAAAATTATGGCTAGGGTTTGATTGGATGGTCTTTGAGGTCTCTACCAGTTTGCTTTGTTTATTTATCATGTCAGAAGCAAGTTGAGGGTACAGTTAATATGCATTTGAAAACACAAACAAAGTTTAACAAAAACTTGGCATTGTGCTAAATGTCACTTGACCAGACACTGGCCACTTGTAGGGCCTCTGGTATGAGAAGGTCCTCCATTGTGCATGTGGCAGGACTCAGGTTGCAATGTAGTAGGTGGTCTGTGGTTTACTCTTCCCCAATCTCCACACTCGCATGTCATCAATTCCATTTTGTGGCCCCATTTCTTAAGGTTGGCTCTTCATCTCATGATACCAGAGCGCAACCTGTTCAGCACCTTCCAGATCTCCCAATCTTCTTTGTGCCCAAGAGGGAGTTTCTCATCTGGTCTCAGCCACCGATTACAGTCCTGGGTTCTAACCTGCCACTTTTGGATTCTTGCTTGCTGAGGTGTTCCTACGAGTACCTCTCTCAATCTTAGGAAGCTGTTTCTTGATTTAATTTACTGTTTATTTATTTATTTATTTATATTTATTTACTGCATTTGTTGACCGCCGTTCTCAGCCCTAGGGCGACTCACGGCGGTGTACAACATATAAAAACAGTTTACAATAGGCAATATCACAACAAAATCAACATAACTATCAATAATACAATAATACAGGTGTTGACTTGCTGGCTGATATCCAAACAGAGGATAGGCCAGAGATGTTACTGCCTTGGTCCTTTCATTATTGGCTGCTACTTCCCGACTGATATCAGGTAGTGCAATACTAACTAAACAGTGTAATTTCTCCAGTGGTATGGGGCGTAGACATCCTGTGATAATGCAGCATCTCTCATTAAGAACCACATCCAGTGCTTTAACATGTTGAGATGTATCCCATACTGGGCATGTGTATTCAGTAGCAGAGGAGCAAAGCGCAATGGCAGATGTCTTCACTGTATCTGGTTGTGATCCCCAGGTTATGCCAGTCAGCTTTCATATATTATTTCTAGCACCCACTTTTTGCTTGATATTCACCAGTTCTATGATTCTGTTATTCTAGGTCCATTATCCACACTAATTAGACCATTTTCTATCCAACACTCTCTTTTGCAGATCTGGAGAGCTCCCTCTAAACTCTCAGGATTTTTCTGGAGGTTTGCTGTAGGAGGAGAGACTCCGTATTTGTTCACTATTCACAGCCTGGACATCATTTCCACTTCTGTTTGTCCTCCTCCATGTGACAGAGAGAAGACAGAGACATGAACGGCTCCTTCAGCCTCACAGAGATGGGGAGTCTGCTGGAGCTCTGGAAACCAGAGAATGTCTCGGTGATGGGACAAGTCAACGGGAGCCAAGAGCTGGGCTGGGAGGAGCTGGGGAAGCTCCTCTTCCTCTTCGACAAGGAGCCGGTCACCATCAGCCTCACCGTCATGTACTTGGCCTCCTTCTTGGTCGGCTTTATCGGCAACATCATGTCTCTCCGGATGCTCACCCAGAAGCGCAGAAGCCGGATGCCACGCCTGAGCGCCACCAGAAGCCTCCTCATCAACCTGGCCATCTGTGACCTGATGGTGGTGTGTATCTGCATGCCCATCACTGCCGGCAATTTGGTCTACAAAGCCTGGGTCTATGGGGACTTCCTGTGTAGGATGGTACCTTTCATCCAAGCGATGTCCGTCTCCGCCAGTGTCCTCAGCCTCACGATGATCAGCTTGAACCGGTACTACAGTGTGCACAACCCACTCAATGCCAGGTCCTTCTTCACCCGACGGAAGATCTGGGGTACCATTCTGGTGGTTTGGGTCTTCTCCTCCACGATCTGCATGCCTCTTATATTTATGAACAAAATGGATGAGATTGGAGTTGTCCCAGGTCTTCTCCTGGCGTTTCCCATCTGCAGGGAAGTCTGGCCTCAGGAACGGGTCAAGAAAGCCTACAGCTTCCTCCTCTTCTGCATGCTCTACTGCCTGCCAGTCCTGTTCAACATGGTCATTTGCTGCCTCACCGTCCATAGGCTCTGGTGTCCCACCAGACCTTTGAGGGACTGCAGTGCCTTGAACCAAACTTTGCTGACGTCCAGGTTGAAGATTCGCAAGAAGGTGGCCCAGATGGTGGTGGCTTTGGTCCTGCTCTTTGCCATCTCCTGGCTGCCCATTTACACGATGGACATCTGGATCGAGTTCAACAGTCCCAAGTCCTTGCGAGAGGTGGCCCCATCCCCCTGGGTCTTGCAGCTCCGACCGTTCGCTCAGTGGCTCAGCCTCACCAACTCCAGCCTCAACCCCATCTGCTATTGCTTCGTCGGCAACCTGTATAGATCGGCCAAGGAAATGAAGACCAGATACCACAGGAAGATGGTCTCCCTTCTCAGCTTCTCTCTCTCAGAAAAGAGCTTACCTTCCTCAGGTCCTGAAGTGGTGTCCTACAAGGGTTCGTCTGCCAAAAGGCTTGAGCAAGAGACATCAGGGAAAAGGTGCCAGAAGAACTATAGTCCAAAAACCCAAGTGTGAAATAACCCCGTGGCCTTAGTGAGTCTCCCTTTGCTCTTCCTTTAATGGACAAGTCTTGAAATGATCGTGACAGTTCTCAATGACACTTCCAATGAGGAGCCATCACCATACACTCAGGAGATTAAATGGATGGATGAATGGATGGTTAGGTAAAGGATAGGCCAGCATTCTGTATCATCTACATGTATACTTCTAATTCACTAACTATACTGAGCCAAGTGGGAGATACAGAAATACATAACAAAGAAGTATTCATATACAACAGTGGTTCCCAACCTGTGGGCTATGGACCATCAGTGGTCCCCAAGAATGACAATATGGTCCATGGCCTCACCATTACTACAGCATTGCCTCGAAACCACACAGCAACGAGAGCAACTGGTCTCACAAAACCCTCTTATAGTGCCGAGGCAACGGGAATGTCGGGAGGGGAGAGGCTGACTACCCACGAAATATTTAGACTAGCACATCAGCTCTAGATTATTAAATATGCTTTTCTGTGTATGAGCAGATGGCAACTACTCAATGGCATATGTTCTGTATCAGGAACTAGAGCTGATGTGGTCTATCCAATGCAATTTTCTGAATTAGCACTCCAAATAGCCAAACCAAATCTAAAGTTGACCAAAAACTGATTCGTAACCCTTTTGGTACTAATGATGGTCCCTGCTCAAAGTGGTCCTTGGTCAAAGAGGTTGCTGGTCAAGTGGTTCCTGGTCAAAGTGGTCGCTGGTCAAGTGGTCCCTAGTCAAAGTGGTTGCTGGTCAAGTGGTCCCTAGTCAAAGTAGTCACTGGTCAAGTGGTCCCTAGTCAAAATGGTCACTGGTCAAGTGGTCCATAGTCAAAGTGGTCGCTGGTCAAGTGGTCCGTAGTCAAAATGGTCACTGGTCAAGTGGTCCATAGTCAAAGTGGTCGCTGGTCAAGTGGTCCGTAGTCAAAGTGGTCACAGGTCAAGTGGTCCCTAGTCAAAGTGGTCGCTGGTCAAGTGGTCCGTAGTCAAAGTGGTCACGGGTCAAGTGGTCCCTAGTCAAAGTGGTCGCTGGTCAAGTGGTCCCTAGTTAAAGTGGTTGCTGGTCAAGAGATCCCTAGTCAAAGTGATCGGTGGTCAAGTGGTCTGTAGTCAAAGTGGTAATTGGTCAAGTGGTCCATAGTCAAAGTGGTCACGGGTCAAGTGGTTCCTGGTCAAAGCGGTCGCTGGTCAAGTGGTCCCTAGTCAAAGTGGTCGCTGGTTAAGTGGTCCCTAGTCAAAGTGGTCACTGTTCAAGTGGTCCCTAGTCAAAGTGGTCCCTAGTCAAGTGGTCCCTAATCAAAGTGGTTGCTGGTCAAGTGGTCCCTAGTCAAAGTGGTCGCTGGTCAAAAAAAAGGTTGGGAACCACTGATATACAAGCAGTTAGTGATTTCAGTGTTGGGCTATGACACCAAAGACCAGGGTTTCATTTCCCGCTTGGCCATGGAAACCTTCTGGGTGAACATTGGGTAAGTCACATATTCTAAGCCTTAGAAAAGCACATAATAGGGTCACCTTGAGGGTACACGACAACAATTTAGTACTTAGCATACCGAACTAACGTCTCCTTGCTCAACTCATACAAACTTGATGGAAATGTCATTCACCCTTGTCCCAATCATAACAATTGATCTCCTTTTCTCCATGCATTGAAAGAGGTGGTGACTAGGGAAAGATGGAAGATGTGATCCAAAATTTCTGGAGGGGATCCAAGAATGGGAACAGGTGGATCTGTATCAGGTTCTTTTAAGATACCTAGAGAGCTGACCAAAGTGGATGAGAAGACCTTCTGCCTTTGCAAACGCGAGAGGCATCCTTACCCAAACATGTCACTAGAACAGATGGGTTCTTTCTACCTTCACTGCTTGCTGTTTCCTTCTTCTGTACTTTGCATGATCAGAAACAAAGGGAGATGGGCCTGTCCCTGTTGAGTGGAAGAAAAAGTTGGAAGGCTTTGAATTGCAGGCCATCTAACAAAGGAATCATCCATTGCCAGACAGCTCATCTCTAGCCAAGAGGAAACCACCAAAACATGGAACTTTCAGAGTTTGGTAGAATGAGCAATTGCTTGGGTTGATTTTCAAATCATGGGAACTTGTGGGTTATGGGATGTGGGGTTACTGTACTGCTTTGTCTCTGTTTTCTTCTGGCCTCACTTACCTCTGTCATTAGGATTTCCAAGCAAAAGTCTTCTCCACAGACTATATCAGGACATTAAACTCTGTGGGTGCATCTACACTGTAGAATTAGCACAGTTTAACACCACTTCGACTGTCACTGTAGAGACCCTGGTGGCACAATTGTGTCAGCAGGACTGAAGACCAACAGGTTGGAGATTCGAATCTGGGGAGAGCGCTGATGAGCTCCCTCTGTCAGCTCTAGCTCCCTGTGTGGAGACATGAGAGAAGCCTCCCACAAGGATGGTAAAGCACCAAAAACTGGAATATTGTGTCCAGTTCTGGGCACCACAGTTGAAGAGAGATATTGACAAGCTGGAATGTGTCCAGAGGAGGGCGACTAAAATGATCAAGGGTCTGGAGAACAAGTCCTATGAGGAGCGGCTGAAGGAGCTGGGCATGTTTAGCCTGAAGAAGAGAAGGATGAGAGGAGATATGATAGCCATGTATAAATATGTGAGAGGAAGTCATAGGGAGGAGGAAGCTAGCTTGTCTTCTGCCCTGGAGACTAGGATGCGGAACAATGGCTTCAAAGTACAAGAAAGGAGATTCCATCTGAACATGAGGAAGAACTTCCTGACTGTGAGAGCCGTTCAGCAGTGGAACTCTCTGCCTCGGAGTGTGGTGGAGGCACCTTCTTTGGAGGCTTTTAAACAGAGACTGGATGGCTTCAAACTACAAGAAAGGGGATTCCATCTGAACATGAGGAAGAACTTCCTGGCTGTGAGAGCTGTTCAGCAGTGGAACTCTCTGCCCCGGAGTGTGGTGGAGGCTCCTTCTTTGGAGGCTTTTAAACAGAGGCTGGATGGCCATCTGTCAGGGGTGCTCTGGATGCAATATTCCTGCTTCCAGGCAGAATGGGGTTGGACTGGATGGCCCATGAGGTCTCTTCCAACTTTATGATTCTATGATTCTATGAAAACATCCGGGCATTCCCTGGGCAACACCCTTGCAGATGGTCAATTGTCTCACACCAGAAGGAAGGGGTTTACAAGAGAGGAGATTCCACCTGAACAGAGAACTTCCTGACTGTGAGAGCCGTTCAGCAGTGGAACTCTCTGCCTCCGAGTGTGGTGGAGGCTCCTTCTTTGGAAGCTTTTAAACAGAGGCTGGATGGCCATCTGTCAGGGGTGATTTGAATGCAATATTCCTGCTTCTTGGCGGGTTGGACTGGATGGCCCATGAGGTCTCTTCCAACTCTATGATTCTACTCACAGCAACACCCTTGCAGATGGTCAATTGTCTCACACCAGAAGCGACTTGCAGTTTCTCAAGTCACTTCTCACACACTGTCACTGTGCTATGGAATTATGGGAGTTGTAGTTTTACAAAGCCTTTAGTATTCTCTGACAAAGAGTGCTGGTGTTTCACCAAACTACAACTCCCACGATTTCATAGCCTCATGCCAAAGTGGTGCCAAACTGCATTCATTCTGCAGTGCGGATGAATCCTGGGTCCACCTGTCTCTTTCTTCCATCTTTATGTTTCTCGGTGACTTGGATGCCTTTGGATCCCTGCAGATAAAAGCTTGACTTGGGTAAAGTAAATGCTTCCTTAGCTTCTGTGGCAAGAAAGTGGAGTACGTGTCTAATGCAAAATTAAAAAGCAGAGGAAGAGGGAGGACATGTATTTCTGGAGAAATAAAAACGAGAACCCATCCGCTCCCGCTGTGATGTTTCCTAAAGCAAAGCAGCCTCAAAGTGTGTGTTTTTTTCTCTCTCTCCCACAAAGGAGAAACATCTTCAAAAGTGGATTTTGCTTTTTAAGGGCATCTTTGGGAAATGACAAAGTTATCAGTGCTGCCATGCAATTACAGAAGGTTTCGTCCCCTAAATATATTTTTCCCCATGGAAAAAAAATAAAGCAAGCTGTGTTAGCCGTGAGAACAAAACCAAAGTCAAAACTACAGGTGGCCAATATCTTTAAGAGCCACTCAAATGCCACCAAACTATGGACGCTTTTGAGTTCTGTGAAACTTTTTCAAAGAGTCCATGGGATGTAGTGCTTTGGATTATGGCTCGGAAGATCAGGGTTCAAATCCTTGTTCAGACATAGAAAGCTATCGGACGACCTAAGAATCCCCTCCTGTTTGGGTCACTGCTATTTTGTGAAATTTGCAATGTCTTGTCGAAGGCTTTCATGGCTGGAATCACTGGGTTGTTGTAGTTTTTTTCGGGCTATATGGCCATGTTCTAGAGGCATTCTTTCCTGACGTTTCGCCTGCATCTATGGCAAGCATCTTCAGGATGCTTGCCATAGATGCAGGCAAAACGTCAGGAGGGAATGCTTCTAGAACATGGCCATATAGCCCGAAAAACCTAGGATGCTTGCCATAGATGCAGGCGAAACATCAGGAGAGAATGCTTCTAGGCCATATAGCCCGAAAAACCTAGGATGCTTGCCATAGATGCAGGCGAAACGTCAGGAGAGAATGCTTCTAGAACATTGCCATATAGCCCGAAAAACCTAGGATGCTTGCCATAGATGCAGGCGAAACGTCAGGAGAGAATGCTTCTAGAACATGGCCATATAGCCCGAAAAACCTAGGATGCTTGCCATAGATGCAGGCGAAACGTCAGGAGAGAATGCTTCTAGAACATGGCCATATAGCCCGAAAAACCTAGGATGCTTGCCATAGATGCAGGCGAAACGTCAGGAGAGAATGCTTCTAGAACATTGCCATATAGCCCGAAAAACCTAGGATGCTTGCCATAGATACTAGTGGGGTCACCGAAGACAGTATTTTCTGTTGGTCATGGGGGTTCTGTGTGGGAAGTTTGGTCCAATTCTATCGTTGGTGGGGTTCAGAATGCTCTCCCAACAAAGGATTCCCCCAGCCAGGAAGCAGCCAGACTTTGACGCTGCAAGGCTATTCAATGCTAATCAAGCTGGCCAATTGCAACATTCACACTTGCCTCAGACAAGAGTTCTTTCTCC